CGGTCGTAGGGCCTGAACTCTGGGCCTGGGCGCTGTCCCTCAGCTCTTCAGCTCAAGGCTAGCACTCTACCACTTGAGCCACAGCACCACTTCCGGCTTTTTTCTTTTTGCTTATGTGGTGCTGAGGAATCGAACCCAGGGCCTCGAGCATGCAAGGCAAGCGCTCTACCACTGAGTCACCTTCCCAGCCCTCTTAATGTTTCTTTTTTTTTTTTGTCGGTCGTGGGGCTTGAACTCGCGGCCTGGGCGCTGTCCCTCAGCTCTTCAGCTCAAGGCGAGCGCTCTACCACTTGAGCTACAGCGCCACTTCTGGTTTTCTAGTGGTTTTATTGGAGATGGGAGTCTCACAGTCTCTCCTGCCCGGGCTGGCTTTGAACCTCGATCCTCAGATCTCAGCCTCCTGAGTAGCTAGGATTACAGGCGTGAGCCACCAGCGCCCGGCCTCTTAATGTTTCTTAATGTATTGAGTTGGTTTGGAATGCTTGATCCTTATTTTTTTCAGTGTTGTTTTTGCCTCCTTTTTCTTCCTAGCACTCTCATGAGTATATTTTAACTAAATTGTACCACATATGTCTTCTTATGTTATCTGAACTTCCTATCTTCCTATTTGCTCATACTTCAGTCTGTGTATTTTCTTCTGATCTGATTGCCATATTACTGATTGTCTTTGTTTTTGTCTAATGTCTGTTAAGCCACTATTGGGATCTTAGTTTAACTTACTGCTTGTTTCAGTTGACTTTTTAGAGTTTTATTGTGGTTCTTTTTAGTCATTCCTCTACCCCCACACCCCCCCAGGTAAAATGCTGTGTTGTTGTTTTTTTTCTAGTTCCTTTTACATATGAAGTGATGTAACTTTAGGGTCTGTCTAAGCACTCTGTCATGAGCATTATTCATTAGCTTATTTCTGTTGCTCATGTTTTGTCTTTGGTTAGTCTGTCTTCTTGAATACCAGATTATTTTATCTTAAGTGTCAGTGATAGTATAACATATAATAAAACTTGTAAAGATTTTTCCTTCTTTTTTTTTAAAGACCCTCCAAGGTTCTGGAGATTGGGCCCAGAACATTGTGTGTGTATCAGGGAAACACTGCATTCCCAGCCTTGTGGGAATAATTTTGAAGCTGATGGTGTAAATACTGTCTCTGGTGAGGATTTTCTGTTGCTTCCAGGATAGAGATATTAGGAATTCAGATTGCTTTATTAAAAAAAAATATTTTGGTGATGATCCTGGGGCTTGAACTCAGGGCCTGGGTGCAGTTCCTGAGCTTTTTTTTTTTTTTTTTTGGGTCCAGTCATGGGGCCTGAACTCTGGGTCTGGGCACTGTCCCTCAGCTCTTCAGCTCAAGGCTAGTGCTCTACCACTTGAGCCACAGCGCCACTTCTGGCTTTTTTCTTTTTGCTTATGTGGTGCTGAGGAATTGAACCCAGGGCCTCATGCATGCAAGGCAAGCTACTCTTCCACTGAGCCATCTTCCCAGCTCGCAGTTCCTGAGCTTTTTGCTCAGGAAATGCTCTACCATTTGCACTATGGCTCCACTTCTTGCTTTTTTTCTGGTTAATTGGAGATAAGAGTCTCATGGACTTTTTTGCCTGGGTTGGCTTTGAATTTTGATCCTCAGATATCACCCTCCTGATAGCTAGGATTACAGGCATGAGCCACTGGAGTCCAGCTGTTTTTGAAATATCTATCTATCTATTTTTTTTTTGTCGGTTGTGGGGCTTGAACTCTGGGCCAGGGTGCTGTTCCTCAGCTCTTCAGCTCAAGGCAAGTGCCCTACCACTTGAGCCACAGCGCCACTTCTGGTGTTTTCTGCTTATGTGGTGCTGAGGAATCGAACCCAGGGCCTCATGCATGCAAGGCAAGCACTCTCCCACTGAGCCACCTTCCCAGCCCTTGAAATATTTTTTGAAAAGTACATTTTATTGTGTATTTAAATTATATAACATTATGTTTTAGTAAACTTTATTGTCCATATTTAATTATTATGAGTTTCCTTGGCTTTCTTTCTTTCTTTCTTTTTTCTTTTTTGCTGGTCATGGGGCCTGAACTGCTCTTCAGGTCAAGGCTAGTGCCATAGCACCAATTCCAGTTTTTTCTGCTTATGTGGTGCTGAGGTATTGAATCCAGGGCCTCATGCATGCAAGGCAAGCACTCTACCACTGAGCCACCTTCCCAGCCCTTTGGCTTGGTTTCTTGTGCTAGTGCTGTACTGGAGCCATACCTCATGCCTGGCTTTATAAGTATCATTTTGGAAACAGAATCTCATGAATTTTTCTTCTTGGGCTGTTTTTTTTTGTCGGTTGTGGAGCTTGAACTCTGGGCCTGGGTGCTGTCTCTCAGCTTTTCAGCTCAAGGTGAGGGCTCTACCATTTGAGCCACAGTGCCACTTCTGGTTTTCTGGTGGTTAATTGGAGTAAAAGTCTCACGGACTTTCCTTCCTGGGCTGGCTTTGAACCGTGATCCTCAGGTCTCAGCCTCCTGATCTCAACTTCCCAAGTATCTAGGATTAGAATAAATACTCTCTCTATATCTATTTTTCGGAAGAGTTTAAGAAGTATTGGTTTTAAATTCTTGGAAAGTTTGAATCAGTCACTGAGCCATATGATCTTAGATTTTTTTCTAGGAGGTGAGATTACTTTAATAATACATTGAGATGCTTGGAAATAACATTTCATTAAAAAATCAGCCTATATCTAGTTTAGATTTTTATGAAGTAGCCAGTTTTTCTTAGTATTAGTTTCCTATTGCTACTACTACAAATTACCTCATATTTAATAGTGCAAAACAATAGCCTGATTTTCTGGAGGTCAAAATTTTGAAGTCAGTGTTATGTTGTTTATGTGCCAAGGGGTTAGAGTTTGTTAGCTTTTGCAGGTTCTTGGGAAAACTTCTTTCCTCACCCCTTGCACGTTCTAGATGCTTCTGTGTTCCTTGGCTTGTAGCTATATCACCTTAATCTCTGCATCCATCATTATGTCATATTCTCTCCTCATTTTGATCTTCTTGCCTCCCTTAATGATTATTTTGTAAGCCAAATGCCAGCTCATGCCTGTAATCTTAGCTACTGGGGTAAGATCTGATGATTGAGGTTTGAAGCCAGCCCAGTCAGGAGACTAAGGGCCTGGGCACTGTCCCTGGGCTTCTTTTGCTCAAGGCTAGTATTCTACCACTTAAGCCAAAATGCTCTTTCTGGCCTCTTCTGTTTACATGGTACTGAGGAATTGAACCTAGGGCTTCATGCATGCTAGACAACCCAGCCCCATGAGATTTCCTATCTCTAGTAAACTACTCAGAAAAAGCCAGAAGTGGTGCTGTGGCTCAAGTGGTGGAGTGGTAGCCATTAGCAAAAAGCATCTCAGGGAGAGTGCCCAGGCCAAGTTCAACCCCCAGGACCAGCAAAAAATAGAATAAAATAAATTATTTTTTTAAGAATTAGTGCTGAAAGTCGGGCGCCGGCGGCTCATGCCTGCAATTCTAGCTACTCAGGAGGCTGAGATCTGAGGATCACTGTTCAAAAACCAGCCCAGGCAGGAAAGTTCGTAAGACTCTTATCTGCAATAAACCACTAGAAAACCAGAAGTGGCGCTTTGGCTCAAGTGGTAGAGCGCTCGCCTTGAGCTGAAGAGCTGAGGGATAGCGCTCAAGCCCAGAGTTCAAGCCCCATGACCAAAAAAAAAAAGAATTAGAGCTGAGCACTGGACACTATATTGAAAATATATTGAAAATGAGCTGTATAACTTGTGGGTGGGAAAGGGAAGGAAAAGCTGGGAGAACGTGAGGGAAGGGATGATGACTTATGTAACTGTAACCCCTCTGTACATCATGATAAAACAAAAACAAAAACAAACCTGGAGCTGAGGAGTGAAGCCAGGGTTTGTGCAAGCCAAACACAAGTCCTACTAGTGAGTCTTGTGCACACACCCCTGGTTTTACTGCCTTGTTATGTAAGGGTTTTTCAGTTTCTCTTAGGCCCATCATGGCAAATCTGGATACTTTCTCCATCTCAACTTCCTTATTACTTCAGCTGTATCTGGGATAATTAGGAGTAGGATATAGACATCACTCAGGAGAGTGTTGTTCTTTTTCTTTTTGTTTGTTGTGGGACTTGAACTTGGGGTCTGGTTACTGTCCCTGAGCTCTTTTGCTCAAAGCTACAGCACCACTTGGAGTTTTCTAGTGGTTAACTGAGTCTCACAGACTTTCCTGCCTGGGTTGGTTTTGAACTATGATCCTCCCAGCATAGGGATGATGTTCTTAAAGTCTGAACTTTTAGGCTCACTCCACCTAATGGATCCTCAGTTTATGATCACCTGAAATCTTTGCTTTGTTTTCCATAGCCCAGGTCATCTTCTATTTTTGGAAACAACTAATGCCAAATGCTTGATTTACCTCTCTGGGGATTCCTTCTTTTACAGATTTTCTTTTAATAATAAATGCATCTTTCCAGATCTTGTATCTGCATACTTTGTCATCCTCACTTGCCATTTGTGGATGATTGTTCTGTCTTTTAAACATTTTGTATTCCTTGCTTGCTTTTTTTGTCATATGATAAAAATTAAAAGGGAAAATTTTTGATGGCCATTTACTATAACATTCTCTTTATTGAATCGGATCACAGGAGAATCTTACTTGCTTAGGGATTAATAGTTAACTTCACACAGGTATACTTTATGAGGAAATCTTCGGATAACTTTGAGTACGACTTTTCACTTCTTTTAAGTGAAGAGGACTCGAATGAGTTCCAGTCTTACGTGGTAGGTGAAGCAGGCTTTAGAAGTTTCTGTCGTCAAAGGGCGAAGTTCTTCTCTCTGTTGCTCAAGCTTGTGGCTTGTGACCTGTTGGCTGCCCTGGCTTTGCTTGGTAGATTAGTTAGATTAGGAACTTAAAGCTAAGTAGATCCAAGTAAACTTAACACATGTAAAGATGACTTCTTAAACACCTGTGTGTATAAAATTGGGCATGAAATTTGTAGCTTTTACTTATGTGTTGCCTTGTTTCAGTATGAAGGCTTAGAATCATCTTTAAAGGATCCCAGCTTTGAGAAGGAGTCAACAGAAGCACAAAGTTTGGAGGTAAAAAAATAATAGCATAATGTAAACAGCTAGGGAAGAGATCCTTACTAAGTAAACATAAACTTTAAAAATAACATATCTTCTTAAAGTTAACTATGTCAAAGAAATGTGAAAACATCTCTAGATGTTCAAACTTAGACAAGTTAGAGGGAACAGTACATTCCTGGCATAAATATTTAAAAACCTTGAGCTTAGAACTGGAGGTAAAGCTCAAGTGATAGAGGTTGGACCTTGAGCAGAAAAAGCCAGTCAGAGCTGGAGGCCCTGTGGGCAAGCCCCAGTACTGGCACAAACAAAAACCAACAGCAGCAAAAAATCCCTTGAGTTCTTGTTGCTAATGTGTTCTGAAAGAGGCATTGTTAGCTTATTGGACTCCAGAGATATGCAGAAAAAAGTTTTTCATTCTTCATTCCTGAGAAATGCATTAAGGTAACCATTCTTTTTTTTTTTTTTTTTGACACAGTTTGTTCCAGAAAAGAAATAGGATTCCTTTTCAGAAACTTAGTAATAAATAATAAAATAAAAATTATTAGGAAATTTTAGAATTTTAGAAATTAGTTTATATAAGTTGTAGTAACATTTTCTTTCCTCTCCATATAGTAAGATCTAATTAGTATTAGACTATTGATTTGCATTATATGTGACTGTTCTCTAAAAAGCACTTGTTGAGGTTTGTGGTGTAAACACTCCCACCATGGCCAGTTAAGTACTGAATGAGAAGTCTGAAATAGACATAGTTAACTTTCCTGAGCGGAGACAGATTCAGCTAGTTGTGGAAAGGAAAGCATGATACTTTGTAGTTTACCTAGAAAAAGACAATGGGAGTGTCTCAGGACTGTTGAAGATGGAGGTGGTGAGTAAGTAGTCTGCTTCTGCTCATGATAAGTAGACCTTGTACCTTTGGTGTACGTGTTCAGTTTAGCTTGGCCAATCACATCCATTGTGTAATCATCGGAATATCTGGGTCATGATTCAGAATGCCTGTGTAGAGTCCAAAGAAATATGAAATCGATTGAATTTCAAATGAAATCTTTCGTCTTTTCTATGTTCATTTGTTACTTGTTAATATGCTTAAGCACTTGTTGAAATTGTTCCATTTTATTTGTAGAACTAGTAAAAATTATTACTAGATTGGTAAATAAATACAGAAAGCCATTTGGCATATTAGTAGAAGAGCAGCATCTAGGAAGCAAAGACATTTGATGGTTTTGTGGATAAAATAAATATATCAGCTGGGCGTCAGTGGCTCACACCTGTAATCCTAGCTATTTAGGAGGCTGAGATATGAGGATTGCAGTTCAAAACCAGCCCAGGCAGGAAAGTCTGTGAGACTCTTATCTCCAATTAACCACGAGAAAACCAGAAGTGGCACTGTGGCTCAAGTGGTAGAGTGCTTGCCTTGAGCTGAAGAGCTGAGGGACAGCGCCCAGGCCAAGAGTTCAAGCCCCATAACTGACCAAAAAAAAAAAAAATATATATATATATATAGATATACACACACACCAGTTTGTTGTCAAGCGAATTGCTTTATATAAGCTACTGGTATATTTGTTTTTAGCTGAATTGAATATTTTGAATTTTACAAGTTTTTTTTTAAGGAATAGTAGTCATAATTGAGTACAGACTGTAATTTAATATAACTTTTGCGAAGTCTCATGGTTGATTCTATAAGTAAAAATCCAACCAATAGAGACATTTTGATTCAAGTTAAGAATTCCTATAATGAAGTAGTCAAAGTTGGGGAACTATATATAAATAAGTTTTTTAAACTACTGTATTATTTTTTGGTTATTTTAAAAAATAAGTTTGACCAAGGATCACAAAGGTCAGAGGTATGTTTACTATACTATTTAAAATCCAGCTGGAATAATCCAATAACAAATCACTTTAAATTAAGAAAAGTTGTAGAGAATGTTATCATTCAGTAAGGAATATTACATGAAGCAGTATTGATTAGTTTTGATTATTTTTTATGTGATTATATTTTTATGTTAAATTGGATTTCTTTTTTTTTAACATGCTTCAGAACAGTACTTAGTGAACTTATTGCCTTTTTTGTAAATAAAGTTTTATCGGAATTCAAACGTATTAATTCACTTAGGCATCATTTCTGTTTCTCAGTGACATAGTTCATGATAAAGACTTCATAGCCTGACTTTACTATTTTCTCTCTGACTCTTTTCAGAAATTTGTTGACCACTACTAGAATTGTCATTTTAATGCTATAAAAACAAGCAATATCTATCTATGTAATTATTTGTCTATCATCTGTACTATGTATTTGATATATAATGTTTGAAGATACTCAACTTATATACTATATCAGAAAATTCTATGTCTGTCTTGTTAAAGTTGACTTTCTATTTTAGGCAACCTATGAAAAATTGGATAGTTCCAAATCTAAACTTGAAGATGAAATACTATTCCTTGAAAAAGAGCTAAAAGAAGAGAAGTCTAAACATTCGGAACAAGAACAATTGGTAAGGATTTTGTATTTGAGGATATACAAAAAGAAAGGTCTAGAGTTTATAACACTAATACGACATTGGTTAAAATACATGGGCACTAAAAAAAAAAATACATGGGCATCGATGGCTTATGCCTCTAATCCTAGCTACTCTGGAGGCTGACATCTGATGATTACACTTCAAAACCAGTCCAGACAGGAAAGGCCATGGGACTCTTATCTCCAATTAACCACCTAAAATCCAAAAGTAGAGCTTCTGGTTTTGAGCTGAGCTTCAAAGTGGTAGTGTAGGGGCTGGGAAGGTGGCTCAGTGGTAAAGTGCTTGTCTTGCATGCATGAGCCCCTGGGTTTGATTCCTCAGAACCTCATATGCAGAAAAAGCCAGAAGTGGAACTGTGGCTCAAGTGGTAGAGCACTAGCCTTGAGCTAAAGAGCTGAGGAACAGTGCCCAGGCCCAGAGTTCAGGCCCTGCAACCAACAACAACAACAAAATTGATAGTATACTAGCCTTGAGCAAAAAAGCTCAGGGACAGTGCCTAGGCCTTGAGTTCACCCCCTGACTGACAAAACAAAAACATGAACATGCAGCCCAGGTGTGGGAGTGTGTCCCTTTAATTGCAGCACTTTGAAGGCCGAGGCAGAAAGATGTCAAGCTCCAGGTTGTACTGGAACTCTCCCTATACCCTCCCCTCGCTGCTCCCCCTCCTCGCCCCCTCCTCAGCAAGAGTGTGCTTCAGAGAATAAAACAAGACAAAAGTTACATGCAAAAAAATGCATAAGGCCATAAAGTAGAAGGCAAAAATTTCCAGCTCCACTTTTCACTTCCTAAATGTTACCATAAGTATCTTGAACATTCTTTTGTTTTGCTCAAGGCTAGCATTCTACCACTTTGAGCCACAGCTCCACTTCTGGTAGTTCATTGGAGATAAGAGTCTCATCGACTTTCCTTCCTGGTCTAGCTGAACCACAATACTCAGATTAGGATTACAGGTGTGAGCCACCAGTGCTTGGCTGTCTTGCCAGTTCTTAGAGATATTTTCTACATGTGCTATGTAAGTAATCCATATAAGAATTCAGTTTTGGGTTGGTGGCTCAAGTGGCAGAGCATTTGCCTAGCAAGCACCAGGCCCTGAATTCAATCCTCAGCATTGCATAAATGAATAAGTTGGCAGGTAAAGATAGATCAATAGATAATAGAGATACAGAGCTAGATAAACTAATCATATACATAGTCATTAATTATTTTAGATTTAAAAGATATTTTAAAACCATTCTAATTTTCCATTTTAAAATCTGGGATAAGGAAAATTTTGGTGTTTTGTGATTATTTAGTGAAATGTGGTATCCTGTATGAATGCAGTGAATATCCAGGTTGAGATGAGATGCTACTGTTGAGTAGCTTTCATATAAAATTCTTTTCAGCATAATGGTAAGTCAAGTAAGAAGATGTATTCATTTAGTCCTGCACTTACTTGAGGACAAGTGAGTTAATACCATACCTAGTTGCTGGGTGCCAGTGGCTCACGCCTATAATCCTAGCTACTTAGGAGGCTGAGATCTGAGGATCACGGGTCAAAGTCAGCCCAGGCAGGATAGTCTGTGAGACTCTTATCTTAAGTTAGTCACCAGAAAACCGGAAGTGACACTGTGGCTCAAGTGGTAGAGCAGCACTATACTTGAGCTGAAGAGCTGAGGGACAGTGCCCAGGCCCAGAGTTCAAGCCCCATGACCAACAAAAACAAAACAAAACAAAACAAAATATATAATGTATATCACATCTTGTAGGGTGAGGTGTTTTAAATAGTTTATTGACTGATACTGTCTTTCCAGACGGCGGATATTTCAAAAAGGATACAATCTCTAGAAGATGAATCAAATTCTCTCAAATCACAAGTAGCTGAAGTAAGTTGAATTAATCTGATAGGGCTGTTGCTTTTGAAAATCATTTCAGTTTCATTGTTAGTAGTTAAGGAAATAACATTCTATAGAGATTTGAGAAATAGTGGATCTTGGATTTTTTTTTCCTTGAGGCACTTCTTGAGGCACTTCAGGAAAGTTCCATTTTTCACTGTTTATTTCGCTATTGCTGTATACTGCAGTGTGTGGTACTTTACACGAATACACTGAAAAACCTTCATGGAGTTAAAGTTTTAAGAGAGGAGATGCAGAATAAATAGTTAACAACAATTTGCTGCCTAGGACATAATAGGCTACAAGAAGTTAAATCATAGTTGTGAGCAGTGGCTCACATCTATATTCCTAACTTTTCAGGAGGCTGAGATCATTAAGGATACTGTTTTGAGGCCAGCACAGATGAAGTTTCCAAGAAGTACTTGTCATCCCAATTATATTGGAAGCACAAATAGGATCAAGGTATAAGCCAGCCAGGGTAGAAAGAGAGATTGAAAAGCAATGAAAGCATAAAGGCGTAGTAGTAGTAATAGTGGACGAGCACATGTCTTATAGGTTCAGGAACCTTAGTACTACCACCAAAAAATAAGTTAAATCATGTGTTCATGGTTACACAGCAAATTACTGCAGAACCAGAACTAGTCTGTGATTCTTGGTCAGCCTTCTTACTATGCTGCCTCTACTAATACTGGCATGTTTTGCTACTTGCTTTAATTTCATGTTGTATGGGAGAGTTTGTAGAGATGAGCACTTGTCTTCAATTGATTGCTTTAAACTCAATATATTTTATTTTGTTTAGGCCAAAACAACCTTCAGAGTATTTCAGATCAATGAAGAACGACTTAAGGGAACAATAAAAGATGCTTTGACTGAAAATTCCCAACTTCAGGAAAGTCAGGAACAGGTTTGTACTCTGGAGAGTGTTCAGCTTGTAAATATAAATGTTTTGGTAAAACTTATTACTGACATGGGTAAGTTTTCCCAGAAAGTGGAAGTGCAGGATATTGTATACACATACCTTGGTGTTTCTATTGTACAGATATAAAACTTTGGGTACCCTCTTCTCCCAGAACTAAAGTAAGCCAGGGTATTCAGCATTCTTGTTACCATAGTAAACAGCTTTTAGTACCAATTTCTCAAAGCTAGACTGAAGGTGTTCAGGGAATACCAGTGGAGGTTGATGAAATTATCCATCTGGAGCCTAAAAATAGAAGGAGTCTGGCACTGGATACTAAATGGACTTGTTAATTTATAATCCCCTTGTACAATAATTTGAAGTTTAAAAAAAATTTTGGTTACAGGTCAAACAAGGATTTAGTTTTATTTTCTCCCCTCTCCTCCCCAAGTGTAGACACTCCCACATATTATTTTTTCCTTCTGTTTTTCCAGTGAAGTTACAGTTTTTACTGGGGAAGATTCTTTCTTTCTTTGTATTGTGAAAATGCCATATAGAGGGGTTACAATTACATGGGCAAGATAATGACCGACACCATGATTTCTGAGTTTACTCCTATCTGCTCCACTCCAGCTGCTGTTGCTGCTGCTGCTGCTGCTGCTGCTGCTGCTTCCTTGGGGAAGATTTCTTATGATTCTATTATCATAGTTGCCTAAATGTTTTTCAGTGTGAATCATCTGATGTTCATTGATCACACATTGTCTTATCTAACCTTTTATTTTTCTTGTGGTTAAAACTAATTGCTTCCTTTTATATCTAATTCATCCAGACACTCTCTTCTAGAGATGTCAATGTCTTATTTGTGCATTCTTCTGAATGCATGAATTCCTCTGTTAATTTATTTGTTAGTTTTAATTTTTTTTTTTTTTGGATTGTGGGGTTTGAACTCTTGGGTGCTGTCCCTGTGCTCTTCAGCTCAAGGCTAGTGCTCTACCACTTAAGCCACGGCGCCACTTCCGGTTTTCTGGTGGTTTATTGGAGATAAGAGTCTCACGGACTTTCCTGCCCGGGCTGGCTTTGAACTGTGATCCTCAGATCTCAGCCTCCTGAGTAGCTAGGATTACAGGTGTGAGCCACCGGTGCCCGGCAGGTGCACCTATTTAATTTTTGTTGAACCAGTTCTTCTTGGGGACCTCCTTCCTCTTAACCCACTAAGAAGTTGTTCTGTAGATAAGTTAGGCTTCTGTTGTCCTGAGATTTCATTTCACTCCTTTCCTGCAGACTCCCCTCAACTTTCTCATGTGTTGGATCTTTGGTTTCTTCTTCTTCTTTTTTCCAGTCCTGGGGTTTGAACTGAGGACTGGGGCACTGTCCCTGAGCTTCTTATTTTGCTCAAGACTAGCACTCTACCACTTGAGCCAAAGTGCCACTTCAGGCTTTTTCTGTGTAGGTGCTATTGAGGAATCAAACCCGTTGGCTTCATGGATGCTAGGCAAGCATCTTGCTGCTGAGCCAGATTCCCAGCTCCAGATTTTCTATTTCTTGTACCTAAGACTTAGATTTTCTTTTCACTAGCTTTCTGAGAAAAAAGGAGATAAAAATAATTTTTTGTAGAACTTTCATGCCTGAAACTGTTTTGTTTCACTGATATTTTCATTGGATACCATCTGGGTTGCAGTTTTTCCCCCTCCCCATTAGAATTTTGATGTTATTTTCCTATGGCTTTCACTTTTTTTCTCTCCCTGGTCTGGAGATTATACTGAGGGCCTCATACTTGCTAGGCAGGCACTCTACTGCTTGTTATACCCCCAACCCTTTTTACTCTGTATTACATTTATGCCCAGTCCAGCCTGGATAGTGAGTGATTCTCCTATTCATGCTTCCTTCACAGGTAGCTGGGATGATAGGTATGTGCCGTTATGCTGAATTTTTATTGGTTGAGGTAGAGTCTCATGAACATTTTTTCAGGGCTGGCTAGAACTGTGATCCTCTTGTTCTCTGCCTCCCACGTAGCAAAGATTACAAGTGTGAACTCTTTTTTTTTTTTGGCCAGTCATGGAGCCTGAACTCTGGGCCTGGGCGCTGTCCCTCAGCTCTTCAGCTCAAGGCTAGCACTCTACCACTTGACCTACAGCGCCACTTCTGACTTTTTCTGCTTATATGGTGCTGAGGAATTGAACCCAGGGCCTCATGCATTCCAGGCAAGCACTCTACCACTGAGCCACCTTCCCATGTTACCTTTTCCTTCTTTCTCTCCCAATTTTTCCCTCCCAGCTCTACCCAAAAGTTGTGTAGTTAATTTTCAGCATAGTGTCTATTGAATAGCAGTGCTACATTTGTTCACTCTTTGTCCCTCCATTTCTGTGCCCCACCTCTTTTTAATCATCAAAGTTCTTAAAACAAACATGTATTTACTGATTCCCTGTTCTAATTCTAAATGTTCTTTTAACATTTTAAGATTTCATGCTCAGTTATTCAACCTCTTTAGTAACTCGTTAGACCACTGGAATAGTCAGTCCAGTTTTTTTCTTTAGTCTTCATTTGGTCTTATATGTCAGTGACATCTGATTCTGTTACATATGCATAGAAAACAATTAGTTTTCTGTGTAGTTGTATATGATAATTAAGCTATAATTTTGTAGAACAATTAATTACTATTTGATAGAGTTTTAAAGATATTAGATGAATTTGACTTTATTTTTCATACATGTGGAGCATTTCTTTTGTGAACTTTCTGTTTAGTCTTTTTTCCCCCCTCTTAATTTTCTTACTGACTTATAAGAAGCATTTGCATGCTAAGATTATTGTTATAAGGTTTTGTCTGTAGTTGTTTTAAAGTTTTGATTTGTGAATTTTTTGATATAGTCAAATGTATATATATATATATATATGTATATATATATATGTACACATATATAGGTTTTGTGTGTGTGTGTGTGTGTGTGTGTGTGTGTGCGCGCATGTGCCAGTTCTGGGGCTTGAACTCAGGGACTGGGTGTTGTACCTGAGTTTTGTGTTCAAGGCTAGCACTGTGCCTCATGAGCCACAGCTCTACTTTCGGTTTTTTGGTGTTTAATTGGAAGTAAGAGTCTCACAGACTCTTCAGGTTGGCTTCAAACTATGATTCTCAGATCTCAAGTGTTCTGAGTAGCTGGAATTTCAGGCATGAGCCAATGGTACCTGGAAAGTCCCCCCCCCCGAATTATTATAAATTTATTTTATGTATTTATTTTATTAAGTAGTTGTACAGGGAGGTTACAATTCCATATGTCAGGTTATTAGTACAATGCACCTCATTGCTACCTCTTTTATTGTTCTCCTCCAAGTCTATCTTTTTTTTTTTTTTTTTTTTTTGGGTCTGGTCGTGGGGCCTGAACTCTGGGCCTGGGAGCTGTTCCTCAGCTCTTCAGCTCAAGGCTAGTGCCCTACCACTTTAGCTACAGCACCACTTCCAGCTTTTTTCTTTCTGCTTATGTGGTGCTGAGGAATTGAACCCAGGGCCTCATGCATGCAAGACAAGCACTCTACCACTGAGCCACCTTCCCAGCCCCCAAGTCTATCTTTTAATGAAAAATTTTATTCCATGTTCATAAATTCTTCCTTTTCTTTTTAAAATATATAGTAGAATATTTACGCAGGATCTGATTTGTTCTAGACAAATGGAATTTCTAAGGGTCAATTATCTTTAGTACAAAACAGCATAATAAAAAAATAACTTTTAATGCAAATAAGATATTGCACATTATATGAGATATGTGAGTAGTAGAAATAGCAGATCTAACAGATAAGTATATTCATTTGATGTAAATTTATTCTGTAAATCAGTTGAAGAATGTTTAAGTGTGTGTTACATTATATATATCTTTAAAGTTCTCTGAAAACAAGCCATTTTTGTCTTGTTTGTGTGACAGCACTGTGTATTATTGTCTCTTAGATACTTTTATATATACAAGAGTGGTCTCTGTATATTACAAGAGTTGAATTTCTTTGCTATTGTTTCCATTTCAGCTTTTACAAGAAATTGAAGTCTGGAAAGAACAAGTGAGTGAACTTAACAAACAGAAAATAACATTTGAGGACTCCAAAGTACAGGCAGAACAAGTTCTCAGTGATAAAGAAGACCATGTCAAGGTAAATGGCCCTCCTGGTTTTAATGTCTGAGTTAGTTAGAATCTCATATTAATTCAAACATTTGAAATTTTGCTTTCAAAAGCTTTTATTTTGATTTTGTCCAGATTGTCAAACACTTCCTGAAGAAGAGTTTTGTAGCATATATATTAACATATCATATGTTCTTTTCTATGTCTTCAGTATTTTAGCCTGGGTACTTAGTAAAGAAGGAAGAGAAAAATGGTTTTTCTGTCATCTACTCTGTTAGTAAGAGGAACTTGGAAAGAATTTGTGAAACCAAGTGGATAGTTAAGGTTTTATATCTATATATACATATATATATATATACACACATATACACACATACATATACATATATGTATATGTATATATACAGACATATACATGTATATGTGTATATGTACATATATGAGTGTATATGTATATATGTCTATGTATGTATATATAGTACAAGAACAACAAGATGGCTCTTATTTTCAGAGAACATTCAAAATAGTACTATAAAGTATTATATATACAGATACACATACACATAGACATACACACATACACACACCAGCTTTAATAATCTAGGTTTGGGGATGTTACATACTTTTATAGAGATCAACAATTTTTTTTTGTTTTTTGTCAGTGTGGGGCTTGAACACAGGGCCTGGATGCTGTTCCTGAGCTCTTTTGCCTCAAGAGTGGCACTCTACCACTCTGATCCACAGCTCCACTTCCAGTTTTCTGGTGGTTAATTGGAGATAAGAGTCTTGTGGACTTTCCTGCTTAGGCTGGCTTTGAACTGTGATCCTCATATCTCAATCTTCTGAGTAGCTAGGATTCCAGGCATGAACCACCAGCACCTGGCCAAGCAATGTAGAATTTTTACAAAATAAATAGAGTTGAAGCTTGACTCAAATCACAGGAATAAAATAATTATTATGAAGGTTTCTTATTTCCTTTCCTCTCCCCAAGCCGCTTTTTCTTGGGTATTCTTTTAATTCTTATACTTTCAAACTACAAACAGATATGCAAATGTATCAAATAATGAGATGTAAGACTAATATGAATGTTAAATGAATGTTGTTATATTGAAAGTTGCCAGTTCTGTCTAGCTGATATACTCATGCAGTGTCCTTTCATAATCTTTTAAAAACACAATGGGACAAGGAATGAGTTTAATCAACCAAAAGTCATGATTGAACTGAAGATGGCACCCCATCTTCTGTTTTCATAGGGTCAGATTGTTCAGGACTAGCTTAAATTCATTATTGGAAAAGATGAAAAGGGCATATTCCAAAAGGTAGCTAACAGGATATCAGGAAGCAGTAAAATAAGTATAGACAGGGACTCAACCTGTCTTTTGACAGGGTTACTGCAGGTCAGACACTCATAATCCTGTGTCTTCACTTAGACATAGGATAAGCACTTATGCAACCAGCAGTTTTCCTCAGTCTTTCCCCTGTACTCAGTCATAGGTTTTTTTTGTTTTTTTTTTGGGTCCAGTCATGGGGCCTGAACTCTGGGCCTGGGCGCTGTCCCTCAGCTCTTCAGCTCAAGGCTAGCGCTCTACCACTTGAGCTACAGCGCCACTTCCGGTTTTCTGGTGATTTATTGGAGATAAGAGTCTCACAGACTTTCCTGCCCAGGCTGGAACCGTGATCCTCAGATCTCAGCCTCCTGAGTAGCTAGGATTACAGGCGTGAGCCACCAGCGCCCGGCAGAATATCTTGTTACCCAAGTTCTTTTTTTTTTTTTTGCGGGGCTGGGGGGGGGGGCAGTCGTGGGGCCTGAACTCTGGGCCTGGGCGCTGCCCCTCAGCTCTTCAGCTCAAGGCTAGTGCTCTACCACTTGAGCCACAGCACCACTTCCGGCTTTTTTCTTTTTGGTTATGTGGTGCGGAGGAATTGAACCCAGGGCCTCAGGCATGCAAGGCAAGCGCTCTACCACTGAGCCACCTTCCTAGCCCTCAGTCACAGTTCTTAAGGGGCCATAGGGCTCTCATAGATTGCTGTTAAGAATGCTTTCAAGATTCTGTCTTTTAGCCAGGCACTGGTAGCTCAGGCCTTAATCCTAGCTGAGGCTGAGATGTGAGGATTACGGTTCAAAGCCAGCCCAGGATGCAATGTCCGTGAGACTCTTATCTCCAATAAACTACTAGAAAACCAGAAGTGGCGCTGTGGCTCAAGTGGTAGAGCACTGGCCTTGAGCTGAAGAGCTGAGGGACAGCACCCAGGCCCAGAGTTCAAGCCTAACAACTGACAATCAATTGATCAATCAATCAATAAATAGTGAAGAAGGAAAAAAAAAAACTCCAAAAGATAGAATCTCTTGAGTCATAGGCCACTTCTGGTTTTCTGAGTAGTTTATTGGAGGTAAGAATCTCTTGGACTTTCCTGCCCGGGCTGGCTTTGAACCTTAATCCTCAGATCTCAGCCTCCTGAGCATGGAGGATTACAGGCGAGAGCCACCTGCACCTGGCAGTTTCTCATTATTTATATACAGTTGGCTTTTGTGTATCCACAAGCTCTACCCCTGTGGATTTAACAATCACAGATTGACAGTATTAAAAATAAAGTACACCTCCATTGAACATGCGAGGACTTTTTTCCTTGTTGTACTTCTCTAAATAATACAGTGTAACACCTATCTACATAGTATTACTTTATAGTAGGTATTATAAATAATCAGAGATGATTTAAACAATACAGGAGAATGTGCATAGATTATATATTTTTAAATTTTTAAAATTTAAAATTTTATTTATTTATTGTTGGATGTGGGGCTTGACCTCTGGGCCTGGGTGCTGTGCTGTCCCTTAGCTCTTCAGCTCAAGGTGAGTGCTCTACCACTTGAGCCATAGCGCCACTTGCGGTTTTCTGGTGATTTATTGGAGATAAGAGTCTCACAGGACTTTTCTGCCAGGGCTAGCTTTGAATGTGATCCTCAGATCTCAGCCTCCTGAGTAATTAGGATTACAAGTCAGCCACCGGGGCGCCCTGTTGTTATATATTTTAAATAAGGGATTTTAGTGGCAGTGGTGGTGCGCCATGTCCTGGAGCCAATCTCCTTTGTATACTAAGGGATGACTGTGCTTTTCTCCTCCAAACTTACTGTACTTTGTATTCCTAATAACAACACAAATGGGAACTTCTCAAAGCTGTAGGCTCTGTTATTTCTACCTGGAAGCCTGAAGGCAGGGGAGAGACTACACAGTGAAAATTTTAGAGCAGGGTGGATCTTTCCAGAGAAATTTATGGCATGGTCATTATATGTAGTGCTAAAAAATCTTTTCTTTTCTTTTTTTTTTTTTTTTGGTCGGTCATGGGGCTTGAACTCTGGGCCTGGGTGTTGTCCCTCAGCTCCTACAATTCAAGGCGAGCGCTCTACCACTTGAACTACAGCGCCACTTCCAGTTTTCTTGCCCGATCAGGCTTTGAACTGCAATCCTCAGCTCTGAGACTCCTGAGTAGCTAGGATTACAGGCGTGAGCCACCGCACCCGGCTAAAAAGTATTTCTTAACTCTAGAAAACAAAAAGAAAAACAAACCCCCTGTTGTTTATCTTCTAACATTCCCAATTTGGTTCTCTCTGTCTCTCTCTCTCTCTTTTTTTTCCGTCCTGGGGCTTGAACTTTGGGCCTGGACGCTGTCCCTGAGCTCTTTTTGCTCAAGGCTATCACTGTACCACTTTGAGCCACAGTGCCACTTCCCTTGATTCTTTCTCTTTTATAATTTTTTTCTGTACCTCAGTTGAAGTCATCAACCATTTGTTTACTTGAATAAGTAAAAAATCCTGTGATCTTTTTGTTTAGACATCTCACTTGTAGATATGATTGCATACAGAATTTACTCCCATGTTAATAACACTCCTAATTGGATCATGTGAGCAATGTCATAGAAGTAAATATTTTTTCTACTTTGTAGTCATCTAATAGTAAGAATGGGCCATTATCAGATTCTGTAGTTGCTATAGTAATAATAAGTAATAATAATATAGTAAGTTTTGTGTTTTGATTTATTTATTGTTATTGTACTGAGGAGTTACGGTTACATGAGTTAGATAGAGTGTATTTCTTTTTGAACAATGTCATGACCCCTTCCCTTGTTCTCTCCCAGTTCTTCCCTCCCATCCCCATTTGCAAGTTGTATAGTTTATTTTTCAACATAGGGTCTATGAGTATCACCACTACATTTTTTTGCCCTTTGTCCCACCATTCTTGTCCCTGTCCCCCATCCCCTTCCCCTCCCAAAGACAGATAAATGAACAAACAAGATAAAAGGAAATGAAAACAAGAACAGCAATGAAGAATAAAAATCTTGTTTCCACTTCTTGGAGTTCATTTTGATAAATAGTATATTATATGATCAGATGCACATAGCTGTTATGGCTATATGATTCTTTCCTAGGAATATCCTAATTTGAGCTGGGTGCTGGTGGCTCACTTCCATAATCCTATCTATCTACCCAGGAGGCTGAGGTCTGATGGTTGAAGTTTATGTAAAATGTGAAATCAGAGATAGAACAAAATGATTAATTATTAAAAATAGAGGAAAGTATTAAAGGGAAATTCCAGGGGTAAAGACCGAAAGAAAAGAATGAACTAATAAAGAAGTTAAGCATCAGGGTTACTGAAATATAGCAGAATTCAGGAAAAGTCCAGTAACCCAGAAGGTAGTTTGGCCTTAGACTTGGTAAATAGGGAACTTGGGAGGTGTGAAAGGTTGTATAGTAAATAGGAAGCTTGGGAGGTGTGAAAGGTGTTATAGTAAATAGAATGTTTTGGGATGGTTTTGTTTTATTGGAAACTGCTATTTGTCACTTATACTGATCACCTGTGTGCAGCCCTTTCCGTATGCTGCCACCTGTGCATGGCCTCTTTGCTATATAAGTCACAGTGTTAGAGAGCATGGTTACTGTGCTTCACTACCGATGAGTGGGGCATAGTATCCATGGCTAATAAAGACCCCTTGTCCTTTTTATCTCAGTCGGTGGATATATTTGCAGGAAACATTTGTAGGAGCCGGGATTCTACCAAGTCAGCCTGGAAAGAAAAAGTCTGCATGAGACTCTTATCATCAATTAACCACTCAAAAACTGGAAGTGGAGCTGTTGGTCAAAGTGGTAGAGTGCTAGCCTTGAACAAAAGAGCTCAGGGAGAGTGCCCAGGCTCTGAGTTCAAGGCCCCCCCCCCCCCGCCAAAAACCAAACAAACAAGCAAACAAACTATTTTAACTGGAGTAAGTTTTTATCTTGCTGGGTATAATAGTCAATGAATTTTGGAGTTTTCAAGACTGTGTACATACACTGATTACAGAAAAAGAAGAGCTCATATACTATTGTTTATGCTGATTGATTTGGAAACTTCTGTTGTATATTTCTTAAGTTTTTAAGCCCTTAGTATAAAGATTTACCCTCTTGTTTTTGTTTTTCCTCTGCTCAATGTCAAGTCTTTGACCCAGCGCTTGCTAAAGATGAAAGATTGGGCTGCTGTGCTTGGAGAAGACCTAACTGAAGATGGTAACTGGGATTTGGAAATGAAGAGTGAGTCAGAAAGTGTTGCTCACTTAGGTATTAAGTCATGACCCATCCTCTTTTGATAAATGGTGACTAGCTCTTCTACTTCCTTTGTGTCCCCAAATGTGCCATATTCTTTGTTCACATCTGTTTTTGAAACAGAGTCCTTCTCTCACCATCCCATAGTTTATCTGTGGCTGGAATCAGGCGTGTTCAATAAACCTTTCTGCACTTCTTTTTTTTTTTTTTTTGGTCGGTTGTGGGGCTTGAACTCTGGGCCTGGGCGCTGTCCCTCAGCTCTTCAGCTCAAGGCGAGCGCTCTACCACTTGAGCTACAGCGCCACTTCCAGTTTTCTGGTGGTTTTATTGGAGATAGGAGTCTCACGGTCTTTCCTGCCCGGGCTGGCTTTGAACCGCTCAGATCTCAGCCTCCTGAGTAGCTAGGATTACAGGCATGAGCCACCAGCGCCCGGCTTCTGCACTTCTTTAGACAGACTTAGCACCTCTTCCCCTCTGTTCTCTCTCTCTCTTTTTTTTTTTTTTGTCGGTTGTGGGGCCTGAACTCTGGGCCTGGGCACTCTTCGGCTCTTGAACCTCAGCGCCACTTCTGGCTTTTTCTGCATATATGGTGCTGAGGAATTGAGCCCAGAACCTCATGCATGCAAGGCAAGCACTCTACCACTGAGCCATCTTCCCAGCCCCCCCCTCTGTTCTCTTCATGTTCAACATAACTTTGTTGTAATACTTTAAAAAGTCGCATTATAATCATTTTAATGATTGTTTTCCCTTTTATTGGAAGTTAAGCCTGTGAATGAGTGATTAGCTTAAAAAATGTGTTATAAAAATCAATAATTCATGATATATCTTTTGCTTTAGTCATATGGTACTTTACCATAATCATCATACCAAATTATTATTGCTTTTGCTAGTTGCTTTCTGGACTTACTTTGGAAAAAAAATTAATTAGTACCAATTATAACAATAGTATAGAGAAGTCCTTTATACGCTTCACCTAATTTCCTCTTTAATATTGTCTTCTGTTTCCCCTGACTTACTGTATAATTAAAAAGATCCATTAAGAATGAAATAATTTGAATTAATTCTTTCAGGTTATTAACATGTAAGAAAATTACATTCACAAACTGATTTCTTTCTTTTTTGGTGGTAATAGAGTTAGAACTGAGGATGTTGCACTTACTAGGCAAGTACTCTGCCAGTTGAACCATGCCTCCAGCCCAGAAAATTAAAATTCCCAAAGTAAACAGACACAGAAATCTTTCCTTATTCACAGAGGGCGCTTTCCAAGCTCTGTAGTAGATGCCTGAAGGTGACTTATCACTGAATGACCTCTCTAGATGCTGTGTGTTATCCTGTACCTACATACCTGTGATAAAAGTGGTAAAGTAGGCACAGGAAGAGACTCATGACAGTAATATTTAACATACTTATTGCAATATACCGTAATAATTATGTGAGTATATTATCTTTCAGTTGTGATGCTGAAGCAGCTGATATGATAACTGAGATGGCTGCTAGTGATATACAGTGTGGACACCCTGGAAACAGGGATCACATGTGGTTTAGGTAGGGAACAGGACTAGGACTACATGAATTTCATCATGCTACTCAGGAGGCATAGTTTACAGCCTAGGAATCTTTTATAGAATTTTCCACCTACTATTTTCTGACCATTTATGAAAGTACAGAACTCACAGATAGATAAAGGGGGCTATTAGAAAGTTGAGTCTGCGGGCTGGGAATGTGGCTTAGTGGTAGAGTGCTTGTCTAGTATGTGTGAAGCCCTGGGTTCAATTCCTCAGTACCACATAAACAGAAAATAGAAAAATTTAAAATTTACAAAATAAAAAGAAAGTTGCAAATGTACTTTTTTGTATTTCATCTTGTAAGAAATCACCCTTATTTTCTGATAGAGTTTATGCTTATTTAATTAAGTTATTTGAGTCTGGGTTGTAATTCCATTCATATTTTGGCAGAACTAGGGTTTGAACTCAGGGCCTTATACTTGCTAGGCAGGTGCCCCCTCCATTGAGCCACTCTGCCAGCCCCTAATTCTGCTGTATTTTGGATGTTGTAAGACTCTTAGGATTATTTAAGGCTATGGTCTGCATTTAGGTCAATCCTCAATTCTCATTATAATATGTTATTGAAGTTGCTGGAGAACCCTTTAAAATATAAAGTTACTCCAGTACTTTTATTGTTTAGCCTCCTAGGAGTAGATTCAAGGCCATTCTGTTTATTCCTAATTCCTGTTGTAATTAGAAGAGGGATCATAACTGTAATCATTTGGGTGTCTGTTTAGTATTGTACTATCTTCTCAAATTATTATGTGTTTGTTTTTTACTGTAGATAATCCACCAAAAGGAGCCTTGAAGAACCTGGTTTATGCTGCTAAGGTTTGCATTACTACTTAAATATAAAGAATGAAGAGGAGGGCTGGGAATGTGGCTTAGTGGTAGAGTGCTTGTCTAGCATGCATGAAGCCCTGGGTTTGATTCCTCAGTACCACATAAACAGAAAAAGCTGGAAATGGTTCTGTGGCTCAGGTGGTTGAGTTCTAGCCTTGAGTAAAAGAAGCTCAGGGACAGTGCCCAGGCAGAAAAAAAAAAAGAAGAGGAATAGATAGAACATAGGTTAAAGCCATATGTTCTTAGTAACGATTTTATTGTTCCTAGGTAAGGGTATTTAAACAATGATCAGAATTTTCATCAGTTGCTTTTTATGTATTTATTTTTAGGTGGTATTAGGGTTTGCGCTCAGGGCCCCATGCTTACTAGGCAGATGTCTTATCACTTGAGGCAGACCCCTCCCCCATCCCCTTTTGCTTTTGTTCTGTTTTTGAAAAGGGTCTTGTTTTTTTGCCTTGGCTAGCCAATATCAATCCCCTTATTTAAGCTTTCTATATAACAGGGATGACAGGGCTCAAATTGTGTTCTTTGCTTCCTGAGTAGCTAGGCTCATAGACGTGAGCTACTATACCTGGCTGCTTATTACTTTTTACTTTTCGTGTGTGTGCGTGCATGCGTGCGTGCATGTGTGCGTGCATGCGTGCATGTGTGCGCGCGCGTGTGTGTGTGTGTGTGTGTGTGTGTGTGTGTCCTGGGGCTTGAACTCAGAGCATAGGTACCATCCCTAAGCTTCTTTTTCTCCAGGTTAGCACTCCACCACTTGAACCACAGTGTATTTTGGCTTTTTTTTTTTGTCGGTCATGGGGCTTGAACTCTGGGCCTGGGCACTGTCCCTCAGCTCTTCAGCTCAAAGCTAGTGCTCTACCACTTGAGCTCAGAGCCACTTCTGGTTTTCTGGTGGTTTATTGGAGATGAGAGTCTCACGGACATTCTTGCCTAATCTGGCTTTGAACTGTGATCCTCAGATCTCAGCCTCCTGAGTAGTTAGGATTACAGGCATGAGCCATGGGCTCCCAGCTACTTTGGCTGTTTTGGTAGTTTATTGGAGATAAGAGTCTCAAGAATTAGACTGCCTTTAAACCACAATCCTCAGATCTCAGTCTCCTAAGTAACTAGGATTACTGGCATGAACCACTGGTGCCTGTTTACCTTTGCTTGCTTGCTTGCTTGCTAGCTTGTTTTCTTTCTTTCTTTCTCTCTCTCTCTCTCTTTCTTTCTTTCTGTCAGTTCAGGGCCTCATGCTTCCTAGTCAGGAGCTCTTCTGCTGAATCATAACTCCAGCCTCTTCATGTGCTGCTTATTTTTATTTATTTTTTGAGATAGGGGATCTTGCTTCATTCCTGCTACGTGCCTGGACTTTAATCCTCTAATTTTTACTTACCTCAATAGCTGGTGTGACAGGTGCATTCGGCTCACACCCAACTTCTGTTGAGAATGGGCTCTTGAGGACTTTTTTTTACCCAGGTTGGCCTCAAACTATGATTTTCCTGATCTGGCCTTCCAAGTATTTAAGATTATAGGGGCAAGCCACCAGTGTTCAGCTTTAATTTTTTTTTATTTAGTAATTCACATACTTTTTAGAATTCATTAAAATAAAAAATTCAAGGTTTGGTTGGAAACATAACTTAAGAGGTAGAGTGTCAGCCAACTAGTGAAATATCAGATACCAAGTTCCAGTCCCAGTCTTAGACCAAAAAAGAAAAATTTCAAGTTCTACCTATACTAATTTCTTCAGATAAGGGCTATACTTAAGATGTTTACTATGTTTTATCTTATACTTCCTGTAGCACATTTTTTTTCTGTTAGTACTTTCTTCCAGTTCCAGATCCTATTGACAAATGAATACTAGATTTATTTACTTCTGCCCTATAGAGTTCTTATGATGGTAATGTTTGAAGGCTGCTTCAAGCACAACATGTATTGAAAATAGAATGAAAAGAGCCACTGTTGAAGCCTGCAGTGGAAAGTATGCACTATTTTTCTGTATCCCTGCACTAAAACTTAACTATTGTTAACTTTACTTCCTTTCTAAGATGGAGGCTGCATTTTTGGTTTCCACACATTTATTGATAATTTCATCTAAGTGATAAATAACTTCAGAATCAGGGCTAACATGTTGAGGTGAATGTGTGTGTGTGTGTGTGTGTGTTTTACTTTTGTATAACTGATCATTGTTTCTTTTTCCATTCTTTAAAGTTAAATGCTTCTTTAAAAACGTTAGAAGGAGAAAGAAACCAAATTTACATTCAGTTATCTGAAGCAGATAAAACAAAGGAAGATCTTACAGGTAAAATTTTTCCAAATAAATACATCTCCTTGTGGAGAATAAATTTATTAAATCAATTATGGAAAGAACAATTTCATTTTTTTCACTCTTGCTTTTATTGACTATTTGTAAAAAATTAGTCCTAAGTTTGTTTGTTCTTGTAGGTAAAGCCATCTTATTTGGTCCTGTTTTATATGAAGTTAATGAAATAGTTTAAAAAATATGAAAAACTATGACTTAACGGTGTTATTATTTAATGTTTTTGCTAATTGCAAAATTGATCTTCAGTAATGCATTAATTACAGTATGGTTTGCATGCTTAATTAATATAAATGCATGTAGCTCATGATCACATATTGGAATGATATTAGACCTGTAGAAATGAAGGTTTCTCTTTTCATTGAAAATATTTCTTTTATTGTACTGTTTGTGTTTGTATTTTTTAAAAAAGTAAATAAAGTAAGGCACAATCACACATGTGTAACTCCAATTCCTCTAAAGATAGAGATTGTGAAAACCATGTTTTAATGTCAACTAGGGCAAAGGGTTAGTGAGACCCCCATCTTAACTTAGTCATGATGGTGCGTTCCTTTGATCCTACTTAGATTGAAGGTCATAGATAGGATTGTAGTCTTGGCTATAATCCTGGGCAAAAATAGGAAACCCTTCCTGAAAAATAACCAAAGTATAATAGGCCTGGGTATGTAGCACATGTGGTAGAATGCCTGTGTGAGACCCTGAGTTCAAACCCCAGTAACACTACCTCCACTACCAAAGAAAGTAAGTTCTTTACGCTGTTTGGAGTTTTACAAGTTGGTAGACATCTCATTTTGAAAAATTAAACAATTCTAATATGTTTATAGTAAAAAATGCTGAAGGACATAATTCAAATGTCAGCAGTGGTTAAGCCTGAATATGGGATTGTGGGCAGATTTTTTTATTTTATTTACTTTTTATTTTATTTTATTTTTTAGTCAGTCCTGGGACTTGAACTCTGGGTCTGGGCACTGTCCCTCAGCTCTTCAGCTAAAGGCGAGTGCTCCATCACTTGAGCCACAGTGCCATTTCTGGTTTTCTTGTGGTTAATTGGAGATAAGAGTCTTTCCTGCCTGGGCTGGCTTTGAACCATGATTCTTAGATCTCACCCTAGGAGAGCCACTGGTGCCTGGCTTAGATTTTTTTTTTAAACATAACAGTTTTTTTTTTTAAAGTCAGGGGCTGAGAATGTGGCTTAGTGGTAAAGTGCTTGTCTAACATGCATGAAACGCTAGGTTCAATTCTTCAGTACCACATAAACAGAAAAGGCCGGAAGTGGCGCTGGGGCTCAAGTGGTAGAGTGGTGCTATCCTTGAGCAAAAGAAGCTCAGGGACAGTGCTCAGGCTCTGAGTTCAAGCCCTCCACCCCACCTCCCCCTGAAAAAACCCCAAATTTCTGTAATAGGTGAACTATATAGTTAAAAAACGCTTGAAGCTGGGCACTGGTGGCTCATGCCTATAATCTTAGCGACTCAGGAGGCTGAGTACTAAGGATCACAGTTTGAAGCCAGCCTGGACAGAACAAGTCCTTGAGACTCATCTCCAATGAACTACCAGAAAACCAGAAATGACACTGTGGCTGAAAGTGGTAGCGTGCCAGCTTTGAGGGGAAAAAGCTCAGGGACAGGGCCCAGGCTCTGAGTTCAAGCTGACTCCTCCAAAAAACTTCTATCTTCTTAACCTCCCTGAAAACTTTTTTTCCTTTTAACTCCTCAGTTGGAAATTACATGTAATATAGGATACTCTTATTAAATGTCTTGGGACTCTTTTAAGTAATAATATTATTTAATATTAACTTTTAAAAGATTTTATTATTTAAAAAACAAAGCAATGTAGCAAATTCCTTAGGTAAAATATTGAAAAGCATTTGGGTAGACAAAATATATTGCAGATTTTCTCTTGATGTTTGAGAAAGTTGATTGTTTTTAGTAATTTTTATCTTTCTGAAATGATCATATGCAACTCAAAATATTCACTCATTTCATAGTGACTTTTCAAAAATTTCTTTAGAGCAAATTAAAAGTCTTCAGGATGAACAAGTTTCTTTGCAGTCAGAAAACACAGAATTTGAAAGTGAGAACCAGAAGCTTCAGCAGAAACTTAAAGTTATGACTGAGCTGTATCAAGAAAATGAAATGAAACTTCACAGGTAATAAAAACTGTTGATAGTTCCATTGAATGGCAGGTAAAGTAGCTTTAAAAGTAAATGTTGTTGTAAAAACCAGTGCCATGAGCAAAAAAAGTTGCTCATGCCTATAATCCTACTAACTGAGAACACAGAGATCTGAGGATAGCAGTTTGAAGTCATCCTGGTCAGGAAAGTCTGTGAGACTCTTACCTTTAATTAACCACCACCACAAAAAAAAAAAAAAAAAAAGAAAATCTGAATGTGGAGCTGTGGCTCAAGTAGAAGAGCACTAGTCTTCAAGATAAAAGGTTAGGGACAGTGCCCAGGCCCTGAGTTCATAGCGCCCAGGCCCTGAGTTCAAAACCCAGGACCGGTGT